GAATTACGGCCCAATTATTGCTGCACTTCATGAAGTTACTCACAGATTATGGAGGGAATGCTCGATTTTGTACCCACAGCTTTAGCCAAAATGTATTTAAACTAAAATATATGTAAATCTGCATTAATATTCATCAAACAGGCGTAATATGTATAACTTCTAGTTTTCTGCATATGGCTCGCATCTGTTCAAGATAATTATACGGTTACTTATGGTATTATACAGGTGTTAAAGAAGAGTAAAATATTAGGTAATAGTATGAACCAAAATAAGCAGAAAAGTCTTATTAAACATGGGTCCGCAAAGTAACGGTTGCGAAGATATGGCCAACTATTCGTTTTTCGAACATTTTATTTTATTAGGAATAAACCGACAAAGGAAGCTTTTAACAAACAAAAAACAAAGTTACAGAAGATGTTCAAAGGGCCCTCCGTCCATTTCCAAGCAGGCACGACATCTTCGTCTCGACGATATTCGAACTCTTTCGATAACATCCTCCTTGGTTTGGATTTCTTGACACATTTGATTAATCCGTAGCTGCAGCTCTTCCAGGCTATATACAGGAGTACCATACACTAATGTCTTCAAATATCCCCAAACAAAGAAATCTAGAGGGTTCAGATCAGGCGATCTTGGAGGCCATAAAACAGGCCCGGCCCTTCCTACCCATCTATGTGGAAAAGTTTGGTGTAAATACTCTAACGTCCATGGAAAAATGAGTTGGAGCACCATCATGCTGGAACCACATTTGTTGCCTGTGATTCAAAGGAATATCTTCCAAAAACTCATACAGTGTGTTCTGCAGAGAGTTGAGGTAAGCAGCGCCTGTTAATCGGTAATGCCCATCCAAATGTTTAATGAAAAACGTGCCTGATGTCCAGATTCTATTAGAGCATGAGGATTTTCGTCGGCCCAAATATGCGTATTGTGAAAATTAAACACTCCATTTCTTGTGAACCCGGCCTCATCAGTAAAAAGAATGTTTGCAAGAAAACGAGGGTCTTCAGCATCATGACATAGAAACCAGCAGCAAAAAACCAAACGTGCTTGATGATCATTTATTGGATTTAAGGCCTGTACTCGTTGCACATGGTATGGATAAAGCAGTTGCTCGTGAAGGATTATCCAAACAAGAGGACCACTAATTCCTACCTCGGCTGATATTCTCCGCACACTCGTGCCTGGATTCTGCTCTACCAAAACATATGTGCGGTTCCAAATCCTATAGCGCGAGTTGTAATACATAGCGTTATTGCTTTTTGTGTATTTACGGCTTCTAGCCGATCAGCGGCACTTTGGCCGTCTTTCACTCCTGGGAAGAGCTTGTTTCGAAAAGCAACAGCAAGATCATCCTCTGTTATTTTATACTTCGCTACTCTGAAGTCTTCATTCCTCTTCGTCTGGTAACTCGATCGCTGCCTTCCTCCACGGGCGCGTCTTGGACCAGATCCTCTTCTAGGGGGGGGGGGGGGGGGGGG